AAAAGCTACCATAGGTGTGATGTGTAGGTGTCCCAATACTTTTGTCTATATAGTCTGTCAGTGGGCCTTTCCACAAATGCCCTCTTCTGTACATATATGACAAATGTTAACTGTAAATAGCTACAGTTTGATACACTAATATTACTTTTCTTTTCTTTTGTTTTGTTTTATCACTTGATTATTGATTTATTTTCATTTTGATCATTATTGCTATTATTGTTGTCATTATTAATATTATTATTTAGTGTGTTATTTTTTCTTCTGTAGGTATCTGTATATATATTAATATATATAAAGTAATGCATAAACCTTGTAAACACATTACCATCATCGTACGTTCATGTACAGCACCTGCCCCCTGCTCACAGCAATGCAGAGCGGAGAGGCCTTCCTCTTCCTCTTTCTGAGTTATGTATGTGAGAAAGCATGAAGAAAAATGAAGAAAAAGGAAAGGTCAGAGGAAAAGAAGGAGCTGGACGTTGACAGGCGTATCTCAGTGCCGTCCAATTATCATGTAATTGTTGTTCTGTCTCTCAGCTGAGCTGCTGTTCCCCACTTGGCTGCAGTGACTGGAATCTCAGCAGATTTCAGTGCACAAAAAAACAGAGTAAACAAATTAATAAATCGAAGCTGTGCTGATTTGGACAGTGGTGAACTTCTGGCTTTGGTGAACTTTCCTCAGCATGAGCAGAAAGGGAGAAGGGCTGGAGCGAAGCTGATAAATTGGAGAACTTTCAGCCAGGGCTCCAGACTGTGATCCCGTGGGTGGGCTTGAGCGATTAAAGTGAACTCGGACCTGAACGCAGCCACGCTGCAGCTTTAATTGCGCTTCGCTCCCGGTGTCAAACCGCCATCCCTGCAAAAATAGACTCTGTCTCAGCAGAACCTCTCGCTCCAGCAGGTTCTTCACGAAGGGATAAACATTCAGGAGAAAAACAGTCCTGTTAACTAACGATAGCGTTTAACTAGCTGGCTTGTTTTTTTATCAATTGTACTCTGAATGCTTAAAGACCATGGAGGAATTTGGGGCGGAGTTTAAAGGGGGCGTGCCCTTGAATGTTTAACATGTAAAAGTTTAACAAGTTGTCCCCAGATGTGTATTCAGTGTTTAGATTGTTGTAAGCTTTTTAGAAGATTACTTGACATGTTTGATACTTGTTTTAAGTCATTTTGATAATGTTTATGGCAAATAATTTTGCTTGTTACAAGTAAAAAAAAAATTCTAGAAATATGTTAATTTTAAAAGGAGCTTACAACAATCCCAACATAATATTAGAAATATCTCTGCATAATATTACAACCCCATTTCCAAAAAAGTTGGGATGCTGTGCAGAATGTAAATAAAAACAGAATGCAATGATGTGCAAATCATGTAAACCATATTTTTAAAGGAAAATACTACAAAGACAACAAGTCAAATGTTGTAACTGAGAAATTTTATTGTTTTTGAAAAATATTTGCCCATTTTGAATTTGATGCCAACAACACGTTCCAAAAAAGTCGGGGCGGGGGCCTGTTTACCACTGTGTTTCATCACCTCTTCTTTTAACAACACTCTGTAAGTGTTTGTGAACTGAGGAGACACTGCTGTAGTTTAGAAAGTGAAATGTTTTCCTGTTTTTGTTTGATACAGGATTTCAGCTGCTCAACAGTTCAGGAGCTCATTTGTCATATTTTTCATTTCATAATGTGCCAAATGTTTTCAGTGATGACAGATCTGGACTGCAGGCAGGTCAGTTTAGCCCCCGGACTCTTTTAATATGGAGCAATGCTGCTGTAATACATGCAGAATGTGGTTTGACATTGTCTTGCTGAAATAATCAAGGCCTTCCCTGAAAAAGACGTCGTCTGGATGGCAGCATATGTTGACAAAACATGTATATATCGTTCAGCATTAATGGTGCCTTCACAGATGAGCACGTCACCCATGCCATGTGCACTAATGTCCCCTATACCATCATGAACACTGGCTTTTGAACTGTGCACTGATAACAAGCTGAGTGGTCTTTAGTCTGGAGGACACAGTGTCCATGATTTCCAAAAAGAATTTCAAATGTTGATTCATCGGACCACAGAACACTTTTCCACTTCCCCTCAGTCCATTTTAAATGAGCTCAGGCCCAGAGAAGGTGGCAGCGTTTCTGGATCCTGTTTATATGCAGTTTCTTCTTTGTGTTTTAGAGTTTTAACTCACATTTGTGGATGCAGTGATGAACTGTTTTCACAGACAGTGGTTTTCAGAAGTGTTTCTGAGCCCATGCAGTGATTTCCACTACAGAATCATGTCTGTTTTTAATGCAGTGCTGCCTGAGGGCCCAAAGATCACAGCCAGCTAATACTGGTTTTTGGCCTCGTCCCTTACATACAGAGATTTCTCCAGATTCTCTGAATCTTTTAATGATATTATGTACCGTAGATGATGAAAGTTCTTTGCTATTTTATGTTGAGAAACGTTCTTCTTGAATTGTTGCACTATTTGATGGTGCAGTCTTTCACAGAGTGGTGAACCCCTCCTCATCTTTACTTCTGAAAGACTCCGCCTCTCTGAGATGCTCTTTTCATACCCAATCATGTTACTGACCTGTTGCCAATCAACCACCAGGTGTTTTTTTTAGCATTACACAACTTTACCAGCCTTTTGTTCCCCCATCCCAACTTTTTGGACCATCAAATTCAAAACGGGCAAATTTTTTTAAAATCATAAAATTTCTTAGTTTCAACATTTGATTTGTTGTCTTTGTACTATTTTAAATTAAATATAGGGTTTAAATGATTTGCACATCATTGCATTTTGTTTTTATTTACATTCTGCACAGCGTCTCAACTTTTTTGGAAATGGGGTTGTAGAAATATCCTATAGATTTGAGATAATTTTAACTTCTAAGATCATTTTTATCCTTTTTTGCAGTGAATTGTTTGTTCAACCCAAAACGGTGTAGAAACCTTTACCTTTAATGTGTGCAGTATGTAAATCAATATGAAATACAGAAATACAACCTTGTAAAATCAATCCCTCATTTTTTATTATTATTGTAATTATTTTTGAACGACTCGTCTTCCCCTCATTATTTTACAACATTTTACTATTATAAGACGTCTTTACACTATATTCATATTTAGTTAACTTAAAGTCATTTTGTACATGCTTCCGGATCAACATTCCCCGGTCTGAGAGCGTAAAGATGGAGAAAGGCACGTGAGTATGTGATTCTGTTGTGCATAAGTGATCAAGTCTGTAAATCAAACAATGTGAAAAAAAGATAAATAAACAAAACAAACAAACAAACAAACAAAGTAAACTGGAAAGCTGGTATAAAGCTGTTTGGCTGTCCTGAACAGAGTCAAAGTCTTTTTTTTGTTCTAGCTCTTCAGATATGAGTGGAGAAAAATCTCGATACTTAATTATTCAAAACATCGCAGCCTAAATAAAGACCTATCGATATGGTGACTAATATTAAAAAGGTAATCTGCAGATTTTACTCAGTAGCTCTTAAATACGCTGATAAAAGTGCTGCACTGAATTCACTTGATTGGTATGTGAGCATCATTTCCACATCAATAAAATATAATATAGTATTGTTTAGAAAATTTTTAATCACTTTTCACATGAATACATTTTAACATTTAGTATACAAGTCTTCATTCTGGACATTAATTTAATTAGAACTTCATTCTAGATGTTTATTTTATTAGAACTTCATTCTGGATATTAATTTAATTATAACTTCATTCTGGATGGTAATTTATCCATTCTTGGATATTAATTAAGCTATGAAAATTTTACTCTTGATGTTCTACAGTTTTCTACATCATTGTAGAATTTATCATCCTACATTTCTACAGTTTTATTTACATTTAAATATATATTACATTATAATAATTGAATATATTTATCTGGAACTGAATATGTACTGTACTGTTGGAAACATCATATAATTATTGATTTTTCAGGAGATATTTATGAGGAGATTATAAGAGAATCTACCTTGCATGAGTTTCCAAAACTGGAGTTCAAAAACTGATGAAAAGATCCAGAGAAAGTGTGTCTCCTAACAACCACCTGGAAGAGCTGGTCGACCCCAAAACTGCCCCCATCAGATAAACAGCACTTAAAGCTTTCATCTCTGAGAGAGAGGAGAAAATCAAGCTGATCAGATCTGAAAACATCCACAGGTGTTTCTGTCCATCCTTCCACTGTGAGAAGACGACTCAGCGCTGTGGGTCTGAAAGGATGTGTAGCTCATCAAGAAGAACCTCACTGAGAAAAGGAGATTTAAAAGAAGAAATTTCAAGACAATTTAGCTCTTTTAGGAATTCAGTTGGACAGAAGTTTAGCTTCATATTTTAAGTCTTGAAATTTCTTGTTTCTTATTAAAAAAGGCCCAAAACTGCTCAAGCTGAACAACAAAAAAACAGATCTTTTGTTTGTTTGAGATTTTCTGGCTTGTTTGTCATTTTTTTAATCCATTCTGTTTGGAGTTGAAGCAGTTTTTCATCACCCATCTTGCTTTTTTTAGGATTTCAATGCTTAATTTTGAGAATAATTTGCAGGAATGTGTTTTATTTTAAGTGTTACAGTGTTAAGACCATTTTAGGACATTAGTTTTTATTGAAAAGCTGCAACCTTCAAACATTCATTTCAAGAAATTTTGTATCAAACGAGATTTTAAATAAATGTTTAAATGTTAAAACAAGATTCAAATGCTAGATTTAGCTTATTTTAGATTATTATTTTAATACCGGGTCAGATTAGGGTTATTAAATCTAGACACAAAGAAATATTTACTGATTTTAAGATAAGAATGTTTACAGTACAAGATCATTATTTTAAATAAATCTTAATAGATACATGTTTCTAACCACATTGCCTGTTTTTCTACATTAATTTTTATTATTATTTTCCTTTTTGTTCCCTGAAGTCACCACAGTGTCTTTCCGAATATCTTCCTGCAGCACTTTTAGCAAGAACTGTGTTCTGAAATATTCTATTAATGTGGAAATGATGAATCCAGTAAATTCAGCGAGTCACATATTTCAGTGTCGGTCCCTCAATCTCTGCTCCTTCGCAGCGTAATTTAAAATATGCGTCTTTTCTGGTGTAGAAGGTTCTAACAGCAGTCTGTCTCTTAACTCTGGGGCGTTCCACTGAGTCTGTGGAGTCGGTGGATCTGCTGAGCACTTTGGAAAGGCTGAATGTTCCGCACTGTGCAGATTTCTCTGCTCTGCAGTGCGGACGCTCCTCTTTCGGGCCGGACGTTTCATCTCCACTTTAAAAGCGCCTCGGCCCGGAGGACGACCCCGCCGTCCGCTCTGAAACTGCACAGCGTCATCCTCCGAGTCCTGCCCGCTCCCTCCAGAGCAGCGCTGAGCCGTCAGTCCTGCTCACACACAAAGCTGCTCTCTGCCTTCCCCCCAGTGTTGGTCCTGTCTCTGTTCCTCAGTGTTTGGGGTGTTTGATCCAGTTCCGAATCATCCACTTCTGCCCAGAGCAGCGCTGAACCACCAGCCGCAGCCCGAAATTCGCATCTTTGGACATTTCCACCTCCAGACAGCGACCCGTGTCTCGGCTTATGATGGGGCCGTTCTGAAAAAAAGGAGCCAAATTGAGCAAAGTCAAAGCTTCCCAGAGAGCATCAGTGCAGTGCCTGTAACTCTGCTAGATGATATGAAGCACTGGGTTCTTCAGGTTCCATTAGTTCATATGTTCCTACACAGTAAAGATTTATTTTACCGAAGAATTAATTTAAAAAGTGGTAAGTAGTTTCTCTGTAGGCTATTCATTCAGAAAGACTGAAACACTCCTTATAACCTCACTGTAAATAGGCAGGGTACTGTGGCTGAATGGGTGGGGCTAAACTGCTGTAGGCTGAATGGGTGGGGCTAAACTGCTGTAGCTGAATGGGTGGGGCTAAACTGCTGTAGCTGAATGGGTGGGGCTAAACTGCTGTAGGCTGAATGGGTGGGGCTAAACTGCTGTAGGCTGAATGGGTGGGGCTAAACTGCTGTAGCTGAATGGTGGAGCTAAACTGCTGTAGCTGAATGGGTGGAGCTAAACTGCTGTAGCTGAATGGTGGAGCTAAACTGCTGTAGCTGAATGGGTGGAGCTAAACTGCTGTAGCTGAATGGTGGAGCTAAACTGCTGTAGCTGAATGGGTGGAGCTAAACTGCTGTAGCTGAATGGTGGAGTTAAACTGCTGTAGCTGAATGGGTGGAGCTAAACTGCTGTAGCTGAATGGGTGGAGCTAAACTGCTGTAGCTGAATGGTGGAGTTAAACTGCTGTAGCTGAATGGTGGAGTTAAACTGCTGTAGCTGAATGGGTGGAGCTAAACTGCTGTAGCTGAATGGTGGAGCTAAACTGCTGTAGCTGAATGGTGGAGCTAAACTGCTGTAGCTGAATGGGTGGAGCTAAACTGCTGTAGCTGAATGGTGGAGCTAAACTGCTGTAGCTGAATGGTGGAGCTAAACTGCTGTAGCTGAATGGTGGAGTTAAACTGCTGTAGCTGAATGGTGGAGCTAAACTGCTGTAGCTGAATGGTGGAGCTAAACTGCTGTAGCTGAATGGTGGAGCTAAACTGCTGTAGCTGAATGGGTGGGGCTAAACTGCTGTAGCTGAATGGTGGAGCTAAACTGCTGTAGCTGAATGGGTGGGGCTAAACTGCTGTAGCTGAATGGGTGGGGCTAAACTGCTGTAGCTGAATGGGTGGGGCTAAACTGCTGTAGCTGAATGGTGGAGCTAAACTGCTGTAGCTGAATGGGTGGGGCTAAACTGCTGTAGCTGAATGGGTGGGGCTAAACTGCTATAGGCTGAATGGGTAGAGCTAAACTGCTGTAGCTGAATGGTGGAGCTAAACTGCTGTAGCTGAATGGGTGGGGCTAAACTGCTGTAGCTGAATGGTGGAGCTAAACTGCTGTAGCTGAATGGGTGGGGCTAAACTGCTGTAGCTGAATGGTGGAGCTAAACTGCTGTAGCTGAATGGGTGGGGCTAAACTGCTGTAGCTGAATGGGTGGGGCTAAACTGCTGTAGCTGAATGGGTGGGGCTAAACTGCTGTAGCTGAATGGTGGAGCTAAACTGCTGTAGCTGAATGGGTGGGGCTAAACTGCTGTAGCTGAATGGGTGGGGCTAAACTGCTATAGGCTGAATGGGTAGAGCTAAACTGCTGTAGCTGAATGGTGGAGCTAAACTGCTGTAGCTGAATGGGTGGGGCTAAACTGCTGTAGCTGAATGGTGGAGCTAAACTGCTGTAGCTGAATGGGTGTGGCTAAACTGCTGTAGCTGAATGGTGGAGCTAAACTGCTGTAGCTGAATGGGTGGGGCTAAACTGCTGTAGCTGAATGGGTGGGGCTAAACTGCTGTAGCTGAATGGGTGGGGCTAAACTGCTGTAGCTGAATGGTGGAGCTAAACTGCTGTAGCTGAATGGTGGAGCTAAACTGCTGTAGCTGAATGGTGGAGCTAAACTGCTGTAGACTGAATGGGTGGGGCTAAACTGCTGTAGGCTGAATGGGTGGGGCTTAACTGCTGTAGACTGAATGGTGGAGCTAAACTGCTGTAGACTGAATGGTGGAGCTAAACTGCTGTAGCTGAATGGGTGGGGCTAAACTGCTGTAGGCTGAATGGGTGGGGCTAAACTGCTGTAGGCTGAATGGGTGGGGCTAAACTGCTGTAGACTGAATGGTGGAGCTAAACTGCTGTAGACTGAATGGTGGAGCTAAACTGGTGTAGCTGAATGGCAAGTAAAGTAGTAAGAAACCAGTAAAAAATAATTAATTATATTTAATAAAATAATTAATAAACATATATAAAAGAATACAATAAAAATATTAAAAATGAATAACAATATTAAATAAAACCATAAACGCTACCAAAATCAAATAAGAACTAGAATTCGATTCTCTCCATGGACTCTACCTGAGTGAAATCCCAGAGCCTCTGGGACGACCGCGACACGGCGTCGCACTTCTTCAGGCTCGGAGTTCGGCCCCTGCCGTCGTCCACCAGGCATTTAGTATCAGGCAGAAACGTGGTGGACCCCAGGGGTCCTAGCTGCAGGAGACCCTCAGTGGAATACCTGGCTAACTGAAACACAGAAGGAGAGAAAACAGAGGAAAAGTGAGGGAAGCGACACCAGAGGAGCAGAGGAAGTTTACAAACAGCAAAATAAACCCAACAAACAGAATAATCAATAAACTACAGCGCTGCTTCAGAAATGACTGTCCTTATATCTGATATCACCTCACAGAGCTGCACTACATACATACAGCTTATCACTATCATGATATTATACTGATACAGTAAATACTGAACATTTATTCCGGCACTAAAAACAATTTAATGTTTATTTTTGTTTATTTTCACTAAATATGTTGTTTTTTTTTTTGGTTTGAACTCAATCAAAAAGCGTGTCACCCCTAAATTTGTCACCCCTAAAGTGTCCCTCTCGCCCCTGTGGTTCCATGCTGATCAGGGTTGCCAGATTGGGCAGGATCACGATTTATCATTTTACTGCAATTTGCTGTGAAAATAATTATCAGTGATATGTTTTATTATTTAAAAAACCTAATAAACAAAAAGATATTTACACAACTGAACTGGTAGTCACAGCTGTGCTACACTCTCAAAAAAAGGTAGTTCTTCAAGGGTTCTTTAGCAAAGAAAGTGGTTCTATATAGTACCAAAAAGGGTTCTGCTATTTTCACGATACAAGCTTGTAACAGTAGCAGGTGCTATATAGAACCCTTTTCAAAAAAGTTCTATATAGAACCATCTACAGCACATTCTGCATCATTCTAAAGAACCCGTTCACGATGCAAAGAACCCTTTAATCATGCAAAGGGTTTGCTGGCTGTTCATGGTTTTTTACAGAACCATTTCTGTGCTAAAGAACCCTTGAAGAACCATCTTGTTTAAGTGTGTATTGTTATTATAGTTATTATATCAGCATTTTATCCGTATCTCGTGGCTTTATCTCCCAGCAGATCGAGGCTGCTGTCCATTCTATACAGTAAGAACTCAGCTTTGAGATCAATAATTCAGCTGAAGGACAATCGCTGGGATATTAGATGCTGAGGTCAGGGGGGCTCGGGGGGTCAGGGAGATACGCATGGAGGACGTGATGACACACGGAAGAACCTGAGGCTCATCCTCTTTTCTGCAGGACTGAATGGAACCATCTCTCCACAACAAAGCAGCAGAAACATCAGGACGAAAGCTGAGGATCATCAGAGGGTCAAACAGGAGCTGAAGCTCCGCTCGCTGAAATCCATCTGCCTCCACTTCCTGCATTCTTAATCGGATTACAGAGGCGTCTAAAGCACACAGCGCTTTGACCATACACGGTGACCGAGCGCTGCTTATGAGCTTCATCATCACAGTCAGAGCAGAGTTGAGGAGCGAGGAGATGATAAGATCGATGAATGATTGTTACGCGGTGGTGAACACGGCTATTCAGCCCGGAAAACACCGAGCTGGTTCTGATGTCTTAAGAGTCTGGGTGAAAAAAGAGATTTAACGCCAAAGATACATACTGGAAAGAGAGAGAGAGAGAGAGAATGAGAGAGAATGAGAATGAGAGAGAGTGAATGAGTGAGTGACAGAGAAAGAGAGAGAGAGAGAGAGAGAGAGAGTGAGTGAGTGTGAGAAAGAGAGAGAAAAAGAGAGAGAAAGAGAGAATGAGAGAGAGAATGAAAGAGAGAGAGAGAGAATGAAGGAGAGAATGAGAGAGAGTGAGAGAGAAAAAGAGAGAGAGAGTGAGAGAGAAGGAGAGAGAAAAAGAGAGTAAGAGAAAGAGAGAGAAAAAGAGAACGAGAATGAGAGAGAGTGTGAGAGAGAGAATGAGAGAGAGAGACAGAGACAGAGAGAGAGAGAGAGAGAGAGGGAGAGAGAGAGAGAGAGAGAGAGAGAGAGAGAGAGGAGAGAGAGAGAGAGAGAGAGAGAGAGGGGACAGAGAGAGAGAGAGAGAGAGAGAGAGAGAGAGAGAGAGAGAGAGAGAGCACATTTTTCAATACCTACATTGCAATATGCAAATAAGTCTCTAATAAAGCTCCTTTACTAAGGCTACTACTTTTTAACACATCTGACAGCATCGCTGCGTCTCATTTACAGGACTGTGGCCTTCGAAGGCTGCATACGTCACCAGCACCATCCCATTTCAAAACAATGCAAAGGATCCTTGAAATGCGTTCCCCTCTTATCACTGGGTGGAACCCTCAGGGCTCCATCTCAGTACCTTCAGTCAGGGAACATAACTGAACCATAATCCACTGAAATGATATGTTCTAAGCTGTACTGACTCCACACACCCCGTCTCGTCTCCAGGACTTTTATTTTACTGTTCTGTTTAAAACATTCGGTTATGAAAAGGTACAAATACGAACTTTTCACCTGGAAAACACTTATTTAAGGTTCACAATCAGACCTTAGAACCACTGTTGGAGCTCTGAGGGAACATCTACACTGTTTGTACCTTGATGAATGAAAAACACACCTGCACTGAACCTTTATTTCTCACAGTGTACGATAAAGGAGCAGAGCCAGTTTGGAGGGACAGTTTGTTGTTAAATGTGTGTTTCCCCCATTTGTTTGTATAAATTAGTACCACCTCTCGCTCACTGTTCACCTGAAACTCAGCCTCACAGCTGATCAGAGGTCAGGAGTAATGACGCTGCTGCTGTTCTGAATCCTAGGCCGGATCATTTGGTGCTGTAGAAGCAGAGGAGTCTTCTGCAGAACATGCTGCAGAACATCGCTGCACTCTACCTAGCAACGTCCTTTTAATGAGACACACCCAACGTGTGGCAGCCTGCAGAACAACCTTCCACAAGATCAAATTATTTTGGACGTTTTTGGTTTCTGTAACGAGTCTTTTTTTGGAGATATTTTATGGAAGTGGCGTAGCAGTTACATTCTGGTGCCTGAGGCCTCAGGTTCCACCTTAAATGGGGCAGCAGTTAAATTCTGGTGCCTGAGGCCTCAGGTTCCACCTTAAATGGGGCAGCAGTTAAATTCTGGTGCCTGAGGCCTCAGGTTCCACCTTAAATGGTGCAGCAGTAACTTTCTGGTACCTGAGGCTTCAGGTTCCACCTTAAATGGGGCAGCAGTTACATTCTGGTGCCTGAGGCTTCAGGTTCCACCTTAAATGGGGCAGCAGTTACATTCTGGTGCCTGAGGCTCTCAGGTTCCACCTTAAATGGGGCAGCAGTTACATTCTGGTGCCTGAGGCTTCAGGTTCCACCTTAAATGGTGCAGCAAATACATTCTACTGCCTGAGGCCTGATGAACCAAAATGTAACTGCTGCACCTTTTAAGGTGAAACTGGAAAATTCGAACAAGAAGCTGACAAATAAGCAGCTTCACCTTCGTGGCACGCTGGGCAGTATGGATGAACATCTCTCAGTAAATAATAACCAATAATTCAGCCAAACCAGAGCATAAATAGTACTTTATAATTGCACATTAAAGTTTATTGATGTTTCTCCCACCAATCCTCAATCATCTCCTTCCAGTCCTCTCCCATTTATGTGTTCTGCATTCAGGTAGGACGGATGTGGTGATGGTATGCAGCCTTGTCTAACTCCTTTGCAAATGTGGGACCGTTCTGTTTGTGTATGAGGCCCATTCAAGCTGTGTCAAATATAAAGTACTATTTATGCTCTGGTTTGGCTGAATTCTTGGTTATTATTTACTGAGAGATGTTTATCCATACTGCCCAGCGTGCCACGGTGAAGCTGCTTATCTGTCAGCTTCTTATTCGAATTTTCCTGTTCCACCTTAAATGGTGCAGCAGTTACATTCTGGCTCCTGAGGTCTCAGGTTCCACCTTAAAAGGTGCAGCAGTTACATTTTGGTTCATCAGGCCTCGGGCACTAGAATGTATTTGCTGCACCATTTAAGGTGGAACCTGAGACCTCAGGACAAATCAAACCTCACCTCTCACTGGAAGCCCAGAGAACCAAACTTTCTTACTTCGGACACATTCTGAGAAGAACCGGTTCATTGGAAAAGACCGTTATGCTCAGACGAGCTGAAGATAAACGAGGAAGAGGACGACCAGCTACAAGATGGATGAAGACAATCATGAAACAGCAATTCAGAAGCCTAAAGACCCAAACAGAAGACAGGATATTCTGGAGAAACATTGTCCAGATGATTGCCAGGAGTCGGAAATGACTCTTAATAACAGTTTTAAATACTGTTTATACCTCATTCTGTTCTGTACAGGTCTAGTTATTCCTACAGCGACAAATGGAGCAGACTGGTTTAAAGGAGGGGGGATGCAGTGGGAGTACTGGGGGGTCAAGTGTGACTGTGTGGCAACTGCATTCATCCAGAATGCAGCAGCACGGCTCGTCTTCAATCTCCCAAAGTTCAGCCACGTCACCCCACTGCTGCGCTCCCTTCACTGGCTTCCTGTAGCTGCATCAGATTTAAAACCCTTATGCTTGCCTACAAAGCCAAAAATGGACCAGCCCCTCCCTACTTGATGGCAATGGTGAAATCTCGAACTGTTCCACGAGCCCTTCGAGCTTCGAGTACAGCTCGGCTTGACCCGCCATCCTTCAAGCCGCGCGGAAGGCAAGCATCTAGACTGTTCTCTGTGCTGGAGCCCAGGTGGTGGAACGAACTCCCACTGGCTGTCCTCTCACAGCAGAGTCTCTAGCTGTCTTCAAACACAGACTGAAGACCGTCTCTTTATACAGCACTTAAATGAGCACTGAGTTAAGTATTGATTGTAATGTATTGTACAGCACTTATGTATTGTATTGTATTGCACTGCTCTGTGTTTAACTCTGTTCCTTTTTCTCTTGGTGTCAATAATGACTGATTCTAGCTCTGGCTGTGTTTACATGCAACGATTTTTGCCAATCCGATTGAATACAATCCGATTACAGATTTAGACTGAGGTGTTTATATGCACTCTATTCAACAATCTGATGGAAAATCTTCGTTTACATGCTCACTACAAGTAATCCGATGCAAAATGACGCGCATGCGTGGAGTAGCGCTTAGAGTAAACGTTACCATGACAGCGAACATGAGGTCCAGACCCGTTTCTGCTCCGCCATGTTGAGCGGTGTAAACTTTCGCCGTGACGCGACGCACATGCGCAGAACATACTTACACGTTCTGATCGAAATGTAATCGGATTCAGGCGTTTACATGGCTATTATTCTTCTATTTAACGGATTATTTAGAGGTTTACCCACCTCGTTTAATCGGATAGAAATTGTATTCCGAATGGCCTCAATCGGATTAGACTATTCCAATTGAGGTGTTTACATGGACGTATTCTATTCCAATTGAGCTATTAGTCAGATTATTAACGGATTATCAGGCTGCATGTAAACGTGGCTACTGTCTGAGCTCAGGACTGTCTTTCTCTCTAACCTATTGGTAACCAGCAAAGATACTTTCTCTGGATAGACAAAGCACTTTTGGTAAGTCGCTCTGGATAAGAGCGTCTGCTGAATGCTATAAATGTAACTGCAAATGTCTCAAGGGTCAGGTAGGAGGACCCCTTTGTAGTATTTTCCTAAGGGCCCCAGGACGATCAGGACCAGCTCTGGATATAATAAATTCCCTTACTACAAAAAACAACAGCATCTAGGGCTCTTCAAACGGGATAACTTGATGATCCGGGTGTGTTCATGTGTAAATTGAGCTCTGGGTGATGGTGTTGCTGATGGTGTTTGAGCTGAAACAGGATTATAACTCAGTTTACAGGGAGAGAGACGTTATTCTTTCACTCAGCACTGCAGAAAAACACCATCTTATTAGCTGAATGTAATAATCTCAGGGCGGTTCGGTGAGGCCGGCGACGTTAATCTGCTCACTTTGAGCCGGGCGAAACCACCCATTCCACACTTTCACACATTCCAAACATTCCACAGGGAATAACGCTGTCTGCCGCTGTTATTAGCACATAACTAACATGCCAAAATAAAAGCCTGTTGTTTGTCCGGTTCACATTACTGTGAAAGACTAATACAGTGGCTGACATGTACTGAACAGTCTGGGAACACCCGGCTCTCTAATTCAACAAGAGTATTCATACTATAATAATATATCACATGCATAATAATATAAACATGAATAATCAAGATTAAATGCACAAAATTACGCAATTATTCATGATAACCTGCTCAAAAAAGTGACTTATCACAATTACCTACACAAAACAGTTTAATCATGATATCATGATAAATTGTACAAAATTATGTGATTTATTACAGCAGACTACATAGAATAAAGCAATTAATCATAAATCAAAAAATAACAATTAATTATAATTAACTACACAAGCGGTATCGAATCTCTCTCTCTCTCTCTCTCTCTCTCTCTCTCTCTCTCTCTCTCTATCTATCTATCTATCTATCTATATATATATATATATATATATATACATATACACACACACACACACACACACACACACACACACACACATATATATACCCATAAAAAACTGCATGATGAAATGGCTTTTCAGATTGATGGACAATGTGTTCTATATAGTACTAAATACGGTTCTTCTGCTGTTACAAACTTGACATCGTCACAATAGCAGAACCCTTTTTGGTGCCTTATTGAACCATACTCAGTACATCCTCCACCACTCTGAAGAACCATTTCCCCATGCAGGGAACCCTTTAAGCATGCAAATGGTTTTGAGTGTTCTTGGTTCTATACAGAACCACTGTCTGTACTAAATGACCTTTGATGAACCATCTTTTTAAGAGTGTACGTTAGAAGAACACAGGAGAACACAGGTTTGGTTCCTGACATCTCACTGTTCTCCAGCATCACATAGATCTGTTCAGTTGCATCAGCTGATTTAATTTAATTTAATGAAGTATTGATCAGATAAAGCAGGTATTGTATGATAACTGTAAATACTGGACTTCAACATACACAGAATTACTACTTACAGTATCTTACAGTAATAACATTGTTTGTGTGTGTGTGTGTGTGTGTGTGTGTGTGTGTGTGTGTGTGTGTGTGTGTGTAGCCCGTAAGACTGGAGGTCACGTAGCAACGAGGTTTCGCCTGGCTAGTAGTGAACGAAAAGGAAAAGAGAAAGACAGACAAACATTTGGAGATGAACGGACTTATAAATTCGCATTTATAACAGTGCAGTCCACCTTAAATGGTGCCGCAATTACATTCGGCGTCTCAGTCAGAATTTAAGGTGGAACCGGAACACACACACACACACACACACACACACACACTTCCTCCCGGAGAGCTGAGGAGAAATAAAATGGAGGCGTGTGTAAATGTATCTGTACGCTGTAATGCAGGTGAGTATTGATGTGCAGTGATGAGAGTAAACTAATACAGCGTTATTCCCCTCAGAGCTGGATTAGACTCTCACTGTGGGGTCACATTACCGAATACACCAGACACGGGGGAGAGAGAGAGAGAGAGAGAGACAGAGAGAGACAGAGAGAGAGAGAGAGAGAGAGAGAGAGAGAGAGAGAGAGAGAGTAAGACAGAGAGAGAGATTACATTTCAGTTTCTTCAATGGTCCGTGTCTGTAATGAAGTGGACAAACCTTAACAGTGAGTGATAAACAAAAAACGTAAAACTCAGATCAATCAAATCAAACCAGAGCGAGTCCCTCATCCACACTTCACTGTCTCTTTTCATTTTCTTTTCCATTTTTGACCATTTCAAACAACACACCCTGTGAAAATTTCATGATAAATGGACCAACAGAAATTGTCCAAAATTACTTAAAGTGTGTACACAGGAAGTGGAGAGAGCTTTGGTCCAACAGCAACGCTGTATAGTCAGGAATCAAGGTTTATAATCAATATAAAACCAATCTGGCTTCAGATAATTGTATAAAATGACTGCAGTCTGGCTCGTCCTGAAGAACTTCACATTTTTCAGATAATCAGTACAGAGCCGTAATTAAAAACAGAGAAGTGTTAATGAGTCCTGAATGACGAACAGAGCTGCAGAAGGTTCAAAAGTGACTGAGAAAGCTGTAGAACATCAAGACAGAAAGGAAAAATAGAAAATTATATTATATTAACTGGTTTAAAATTTATTTTACGCTAAGAATTTTAAATATTGAGTAAAATACCTAAAATTCATAGTGTAGAAGTTGTTATTCAATATAATAGAACATAAATATTCAATATGAGGTGAATTACTGAAATACGGGACTATATATTAAAGCAGCGAGCCACGAGAGGCTGTGCGTTACTGCACTTCTTAGGCACGATGCAAAGCAGAGTAAGCCTCCCTTCCCTGTGATAAAATGACAGTAACGCACGGCCTCAAGTGGCTTATTGCTTTTATAAAACGGCCAACATAAAATAGGATAAAATACACCATTTTTCAGAAAATGTAAGTTATTATTAATATTCTCCTCTTCTCACACTGGGGCTGAATCTCAAACGGCTCCCTGCTCCCTACATAGTGCACTACGTAGGAGTTTAAATACTGGATCCTGCAGAACAACAGTGTTTAATACAGCTGAGTAACAGTCATGTGGGACTCAGACTCATCCACACATGATGCCCTGTTTGGCTGCAGAGGCTGGAATTTCTGAACGTTCATAGCTATTTAGGGAGTACAGAGCCGTTTGGGACTCAGCCTGGGTTTGACGTGACTTCTGAAACACATTTGAAGGACATTTGAAGTGTGTAAAACATCCAGGTGACATTTTTAGACTTCTATGCTGCTGTTTTTCAGTGAATCATATCATAAGTACTTTAATTCAAGCCTGTGATATTAATGATGGAGCTGTTTAGGCTGTTGGCTATTTTAGCCTGTTAGCTAGCTGACCAGCCCAGTTCTAGATAAGAATATAAGTCGCCAGCTGCTCAGTTTAAACAAAAAAATGGTTTCTTACTTGATCAGTACACTCAGTGCTCCATTTGAGCAGCTTTAGAGTCAAAGATTGTTCATTAACAGCACAAGGTTTTATTTTTCGTGTTCCGGCGTAGTAATACGCAATTCAGTTGCTGTGAAGCGGTCATAGATGTGGGTATATCATGGCTTCGAATGCGGCTCAGCCAATCAGATTTTAGGACCGGAACTATCTGTTTTATAAATATATATTTGGAACTCCAGCCGTTCCACTCTAAGGTTCCGCGATGAATCAGACTGACAGCACATGTGAATGCCTGTGTGGAGTGAAGCTGACTGTGATTGTGACTGAGAGCATCTGAGTTTACAGAGCAGCTCTGACAGACGGAGCTCTTACCTGAGACGACATGCCGTGGCAGGGATACAGTATTGCTCTGTTATCATCTTCTGATCCCTGATCCAGACAGTATCCGCTGGCTTTACTGTTCCGCACCTGAGAACAGGTACAAATCACACTCAGAGTTACAGAGACGCCCACAGCTCCTCTCACAGCCTTTACTCCACTCTGCACAAGACGCTCTTTTTCCTCTCATTTGCATTCATACTAACCCCTCCTTTATAGAGGAACTCCACCGATTTTTCAAAATTTCTGCCTAATTCAGTGTGTGAGATGTAAACAGAGAGATTCAGAGAGGTTTGGTGTGAAATGGTTCAGATGTCTTTACAGGGGTGGTGATAGGAACCAGGGGTTGCTATGACTACAACACAAATATAGACATTTTATTTACTATCCAGAACCACCAGTGAACCTACACGAGTCTTCTGAGTTTATATGGAATGTTGATGATGGAAAATAGTGGAAAATCTGAAATAATAAGTTTTCTTTGGGGACTATTTTGCCTCACAGCGCCCTGCATGTATCCCTCCACCATGAATGGAGTTTAAGTTCTCTAAACTATCATAAAACAGTGTCTCAGTCATCAGGCAGTGAATTCATAACCATTTCATGTAGGAACTTTCTGTGAGGGAGCTTTTAGAGGTGGACGTCTTGTTCCTATCACCACCACTGTGAACAGTTCTGACTCGGTAAGTTTCTCTAGAACATCTCACAATATTCACTTTTACACAAAAATTGCACAAGCACCATTCTCTGAACAGCCTATATATATATATATATATAGTATATATATATATATATACACATACATACATACATAACACCCACATATATAAAATATATAAACATATATAAAATATATGTTTCATCAGCTTACATTTATTTATATATTTATTTCAAATATAAGTCTACAAAAAGGAATAAATGTATATGTAAAAAGTTTTGTTCCAAATCACATTCTACGCTACTTTCAAGAATGATTTTTTTTTAGGATGAAGGTTGACAGTGAGTTTTACACATACAATAAATATCAAAGACTTTATCAATGATATTAAGATTAAATATGATGAAGCTGAGAAATTTTAGCCCATTTATGAATTTGATGCCAACAACACTAATAGTTGGGACGGGGGCCTGTTCACCACTGTGTTTCATCACCTCTTCTTTAACAACACTCTGTAAGCGTTTGGGAACTGAGGAGACACTGCTGTAGTTTAGAAAGTGAAATGTTTTCCTGTTTTTGTTTGATACAGGATTTCAGCTGCTCATCAGTTCAGGGTCTCCTTTGTCATATTTTTAATTTCATAATGTACCAAATGTTTTCAGTGGTGACCGGTCTGGACTGCAGGCAGGTCAGTTTAGCACCTGGACTCTTTTAATACAGAGCAGTGCTGCTGTAATGCATGCAGAATGTGGTTTGACACTGTCTTGCTGAAATAATCAAGGCCTTCCCTGAAAAAGACGTCGTCTGGATGGCAGCATATGTTGCTAAAACATGTATATATTGTTCAGCATTAATGGTGCCTTCACAGATGAGCACGTCACCCATGCCATGTGCACTAATGCCCCCCTACACCATCATGAATACTGGCTTTTGAACTGTGCACTGATAACAAGCTGAGTGGTCTTTAGCCCGGAGGACACAGTGTCCATGATTTCCAAAAAGAATGTCAAATGTTGATTCGTCGGACCACAGGACACTTTTCCACTTCCCCTCAGTCCATTTTAAATGAGCTCAGGCCCAGAGAAGGTGGCAGCGTTTCTGAATCCTGTTTATATTTGGTTTCTTCTTTGTGTTTTAGAGTTTTAACTTGTATTTTTAGATGCAGCGACAAACTGTTTTCACAGACAGTTTTTTTCATTGAACGTATTGTTGGCATTAAATTCAAAATGGGCATATATTTTTCGAAAAACAATATAATTTCTCAGTTTCAACATTTGATATGTTGTCTTTGTACTATGTTCAATGGAATATAGGGTTTAAATGATTTCATTTTGTTTTTATTTACATTTTGCACAGTGTCCCAAATTTTTCGGAAATGGGGTTGTATATATATATTTATATGTGCCTTAAGAATTGGCCATAAATAACATGAAGGTGAGATGATTTTCTTGTTTTTACTAGAAACCTTGGAGCAAAGATCTTCGTACATCTGGACCCGAGAGTTAGACTGTTTTGAAATTTCCTCAGAAATGACAGTTTTCTGCTTCCTGCACAAATTCCCAAATACTTTACACAGTTCAGCTCCCATACACGCTCCGAGGCTAATAACCATCTCATTAAGTCTCATTATGAGGAAATTGGAGCTAATTGTGATGCTTGCTAGGCCGTTGCTATGGAGACCAATCATCTTTACATCTCAGTGAGTCTGACAGTAGACACGGCTGTGATGCACAGATTTGTGTCTCAGTCTGACGCACTTTACCTCACAGCTTTGTTCATTATTGTTGTAAATGTGGAACCATAAAGCAGAACTTTATACAAAAACTCTCTCTGTGCATGAAGTCAGTCACATAAACAACCTGGAACACTTTCAGTGTTTAAGCATTCATAAACTGTTTTCATGTGACCACTGTGTTTCAAGATTATGGCTGAGATATCTGGTTATGGATTGGAAGGTGTTGTTTGTTACATGGTTCTTTATAGCACCAAAAAGGTTCTGCTACTGTTACGATGTCAAGATTGCAACAGTAGAAGAACCAGTGCTGTATAGAACTATTTTCAAAAGGATTCTATATAGAACCATATACAACACAATCTGCACAATCTGAAGAACCGTTTTACCATGCAAAGAACCATTTAAGCATGAAATGGTTCTATATAGAACTTATGATCCTAAATAGAACCATTGCCTTTACTAAAGATTTATATTTAAATATTTTCATTTCATTATATCAATTAAAACATCTGCCAGTGCAGTGGCCACTAGGGGGGGCTACTGAAAGAGGCTACTACAATATAATGCATCAGTCTGGAGGTGGTAACGTAACTGACTGCCTTTTATCGAGGACACATGTAGTGATAAGTGCTGATTCACATTATGAATATGACCTAATTAGTACACCACGGTGTAGCGCGGTTCCCACTGAGTTGTATTAAACTGGTCCTTAGTATAAAGCGTTAGCATTCATAAATGTAAATATAAACACAGGAACACTGACCTCTCCGTAGGTGATGGTGTCGTTGTAGATCCTCATCTCCGGGTAGACGTGCTCCAGGTACCAGCGGAAACTTTTACACTTCAGCCTGTTCCTGAGAGCGACCCGCTCAGATACGTCCCCAAAGTCCACACCCGGATTCTGAAGAACAGCAAATAAACACACTAACAAACACCAACAGACTGTTTACAGGAGATTCACGATCATCACTAACATACAGGAGCTGACAGAGGTCATCGCTATTTTGCTTTACGTTGAATTTAATATACAGAATTTTTAAAATCTAATTATATTATGCTACTGTAAGTAAGAGTTGATAGAATGTTGTCTGTTTACATCGTTTAATTTGACTTCCTTAAGCTTAATGATAGTGTTCGGCAGGGAATGGTGGTGTTTCTTGGAGAATCATGGTGTTAGAGAAAGGTAGTGTTTGGTGGATAATTGTATTGGTCTGAGAATATAAAATGTAAAAATGTTGGTGTTTGTTGAAGAATGGTGGTGTCTCATGGAGAACGTTTGGAGGAGCATGTAGGTGTTTGGTTGGAGAGTGATGGTTAGTGGAGAATAATGTGTTTGTTAGAGAAAGATGGTGTTTGGTGGAGAATTGTGTTTGAGAATGGTGGTGTTTGGTGGAGAATGATGGTGTTAGAGAATTGTACTGTTTTTGGTAGCAAATGGTGGTGTTTTAAGGAGCATGTTGGTGTTTGAGAATAGTGGTGTTTGGTGGAGAATGGTGATGTTTAATCAAAGAATGATGGTACTGGAGAATGATGGTGTTTGGCAGAGAATGATGGTGTTTGGCAGAGAATGATGGTGTTTGGTAGAGATCGATGGTGGCTGGTGGTAATGGTGGGGGTTATTGTGGAATGCTCACTGAGTTTAACTTGTTTTACTGATTCTTACTGCGACTGCATTATATCGTACAGTTATTTTTCTGGACATATAAGGTTCTTTTATGACAGTAAGGAAACATTAAGAAGCACCAAATGCTGGACTGGTTTGAAGCTGGTTTGAAACCAAATGCTGATTTGGTTTGTTGGATCTTTTGAGGAACTTTCTGAAGCTACAGATTGTTGTGGTTTGTTCTTGTTCGTTTGGTATGGAAAAGCTGTAAAAGAACCGGTGCCTCAACAGATCAGATGCACTCTGCTGTGACTGTGTGGACTGAAGTCTGTATGATTTGGACTGTTTAAAGAGTTTTGTAGAGGACTTTAGCTGCAGCATGGTTTACACTGTGGAGAGATAATGTGCAGAGAAAAGTGGGTCATGATTCATTCAGTTTGTCCATTTTCTTCTCTCTTCCTCTCTTTGTGGTGCTTATATGCAAAATTGGACAGTAAAAGTGGACAATAAAAGAGCGATCACATCAGTGCTGAACCGTGACTGTTAGAGCAGTTCAGCACATCAGAACACACCTCTTAAACAGTATAACATGATATGATAATGCTAATTTCTGATAGCACCCCTATGGAGCTTCTCATGTTATGTTAGCGCTAAGTTAATGCTGGTACACACTAAAAAAAACATTTATTTTATTTCATTTCATTCTGCCCACATGTTCTGTGCAAAACCTGCCCATGAGCCTAAACACCAAACACATTTTCTGATAACATACCAAAGAACATTTCACCTGGATCTTTCCCTGGCTAATTGCAAAGATAAAGTAAAAGAAATGATTTGAATTTGATGAAAAGTTATTGTTGCCATGTTGTTATCATTTTTGGACATTGAGAGTGTGCTCACAGTGTGCCTGGTCCCCTTGTACCGTGCCTGAGCATGACTGACGTCATGTTGGAGGTCTGGGCACAGACGGTTAGTGGTCCCACTAGACACGTACTGTGCCTGAGTCCATCTGAACCGTGCCTGAGCCCCTCTGTTCAAGTGGGGGCAAGGTACAGAGTGATCACACTAGTCCAGGGGTCGCAACCCAAATGTTAAGAAGAGCCACTTTGTCCTTTTACCAAAAATCAAACACCTTGAGAACCTTTTATGTCCATTCTATTGAAGTAACGTTTTACAATCTTGGCTGTATGTCTCAGTATGTGGTAATGTCCAAGTGTAGACTAAAAAATATAATATAAATTACTTAGTTTGCTCTGCTTTAATCTTTAGCTCAGCTACAACTGCTTTTCTCACATCTCCAGCAGGAAACTTTTCAGCAAAAGTAGAACAGTTTCTTGTAAAATGTCTCTTACCATTCAACTTTTTACGAGGCTGAAGTCGCTTCTCATTCGCCAGCTTCTTGTTTGTATTTTATCGTTCCACCTTAAATGGTGCCTGAGGTGCCAGAATGTAACTGCTGCACCATTTAAGGTGGAACAGGAAAATTCAAACAAGAAGCTGGCGAATGAGAAACTGACATTGAGTTTCAGTGTCTCGTTGCAGATTAAACATATCAGGAAACCAGCTGGAGTGATTATAAAAACAAATAAGTCCATTCATCTCCAAATTATCGATGTTCATCTTAAATCTCTCTCTTTGACGTTTCGTTAGCTACTAGCTAGATGAGACCTGTGTTGCTATGGTGACCAGCAGTCTGTGCTGATCTTCAGGGTTAAAGGGTGAATTAGCAGTTCTACATTAACTCCAGAGTTTAAGACCATTTATTGTTAAACTGTGTTGAACGATCAGCAGAGCTTTATTTTACTGTAAAGGAGGATTATTTTATTTTACCTATTTTATTTTAAGTCTAATTCTGACCACAACAGGGCAGTAAAAGAGCCGCATGTTGCCGACCCCTGCACTCGTCAAACAAACTGGACATTGGGGGTCAAATGTGCTCGGACACAGTATAGATTCCCTAGTGTGAGTACACCCTGAAACAAACAGAAAAGTCCATTCCAAACTCAAACTTGCCAAAGAGGCAAAATCAAATATACATGTAACTCAATATGTAAACTATATAATTAACTGTGTAGCTACATTTAAACAACAATTTAATGTTGAGAAACAACGCTAATAACTAAAACGATAAACGTGGTCAGACTTACGTTCATGGGGATGTTCCAGGCCATGTAGACGTGCGATTTGAACTCGTCCATCCACACCTCTGCGGCCCTCAGCGCATTGCGTTTGGCGTAGTAGTCGATGTCGTTGTTGTACGGCTTCTTTGTGCGCTCGATGTGGGCGACTCGAGCGCACGGCAGCACCTCCATACTGCCCCCACACTGCCACACCTAGAGAGGAAGAACCGGTATTACACCCTTTAACTGCAGCCTTATCAATTACAGTCTCAGGCTCCGCCCACTAATGTGCTCCTTCATAGCTGCTGAGCGGCTGGACAAGCTTTACAGGATGGTGGTAAAAAAGTTCATTTATCATTTAATAATGATTCCAAAGAAAGTTGGGACAATGTGTGAAATGCTATTAATAAAACAGAAAGCAGTGATTGTGGATTCTGTTTGACCAGTTTTAAATTTTAAACAGTACAAAAACAACCTTTGAGGTTTTGCCTTTTGAACTTCCAAAAACAGTCCAAAAAGTTAGAACAGGATCACGTTTCCCACTGTGTTACATCACCTTTTCTGATTAAGTCTTCAGCTGTACAACCGTACAGGTTCTTCATTGTCCTATTTCGCTCTTCATAATGCGCCAAATATGGTTCTTCAAGGGTTCTTTAGTAAAGACAATGGTTCTATATAGAACCATAAACATTCAAAGTACCATTTGCATGATTAATTGGTTCTTTTCTTGGCGAAATGGTTCTCCAGATTGATGGAGAATGTGGTGTGTATGGTTCTACATACAACCTTTGTGTTTCTATATAGCAACAAAAAATGGTTCTTCTGTTGAATATAAACTTGACATAGTAACAACAGCAGATGCCTTTTTGGTGCTGTATAGGTGAAACATCCGAACAAGTTTCCACTGAGCATTAGTCCAGTTCAGATGAGCCTGAGCCCAGAGAAGTCGGTGGCGTTTCTGGACGTTGTTGTTATGTGACTTCCGCTGTACAGCGTACAGTCTTTTGTGGATGCAGTGACGGATGGTGTTTATTGATGACACTTTATCAAAGTATTCCTGAGGGGTCGAAGGTCATGGACATTCGGTTGTGGTTTTCAGACTTTTCCTTTACGCACAGAGATTACTCCGGATTCTCTGTATGTTTTGACGATTTTATGCACTATAAAGGATGAAATACCCAACACATTTGCAATCACTGTTCTTAAACTGCTGGATCATTTGCTGGCAAAGTGGCCTCGACCCATCCTCGCTCATAGGGGACTACCTTCCCTGGATGGTAGTGGTTGGTGTAGTGTAGTGGGTAACACCTCTGCCCTCTACGCTGTAGACTGGGGTTCAATCCCCACCTGGATAAAAACTCTACACATACCAATAAGAGTCCTTAGGCAAGACTCCTAACACTGCCTTCACCTACCTGTGTAAAATGATCAAATTGTAAGTCGCTCTGGATAAGAGCGTCTGCCAAATGCCTTAAATGTAATGGATGCTTCTTTTATACCCTAGCATGATTGCACTTATTTAAAGGGGCATCACTTATTATGATTATTGTTCAAAATTGTATTTTTTGGTGTCTAGAATAGATTTAGATGCTTCAATGCTCAAAAAAGATATTTCTCAGACTGTACATTTCTATTCACTCTCTGCCTGAAACGCTCTGTTAGAGCTCCTGTGTCTTTAAGCCCCGCTTCCCTATGAGCCCAGTGTGCTCTGATTGGTCAGTTCACCCACTCTGTTCTGATTGCTCAACCTCCAAAGTGGTTCCACCCCTTCACGTTCCGCCCCTGTCCTGCAGTCTGCAGAGAGACCATTCTCTCCTGAGCAGCTGTAACTGCTCTGGCTGTTTCTCCAGCGGCGTCGGTTCTACCGTATCAGTTTGATCCAGAGTGGATCCTGAAAGTCCAGTCAGCGTCTCTCCACACGCTACAGCACTGAACACACTCTTCTTCCTCCAGTAGCCGCTGTGCGCTGTGTGAGGGGGTGGACCTCGCCAGCAGTTGGGCAGTAAGGACTGTGTTATGAGATGATGTCATCCTGTAACAAAGGAAAAGGGCTGGAATTCCAACAAGGCGTTTCAGGCAGCTGAGAAAAGTGGGTTCTGTGGGAGAGAGTTTCTCCCTCTGGAGGGAACACTGAGCTCTGGGACTTTGCAGAACGTTTATATGCACGAAAAGCTACAACACACTAAAGGAAAGAGAAAAACCGGAGAAGCATAACAGGACTTTTAAGATGTTTTCTGAACACTTCACAATGTTTCTAGTCTTATATTGCTCCTGCCCGGACCTTTTTGGAACAAGTTGCATGCATTCATTTCGGAATGATTGTGTATTTACAAAGAAAAATGATGATGTTGATCAGATAAAACATCACATTTTGCCTTTCTCATGTTCTTATTTAAATACAGGTGAAAGTGTATTTACAAATCGCTGCTTTCAGTTTTTAGTAGCATTCTGTCCCAACTTTTTTAGAACTGAATTTTGCACTAACGCACTATTATTTGTTAGAAAGTGGCTTGTATTTGAAATGCAGTCTCCTCTACAGGCCAGACAAATCAAGGCTAAACTAAGAACCTCTACTATGAGGGCTTTAATCAGATGAAAATATGGAAATATGGCCGGCGCTTCGCCCGACACTCCGACATATGACATTTTATAATGGGAAACAAAAAGCAATGACACGTAATCATGGTATATAATACGCCGCTGAGAGCGCCCGATCCCGCTGATTACGATACTGATTGCAATTTCAATGAGTTATGCAGCAATCTGTGACGGAATACATTCCCATCCACACACAAACTGCAAATCAGCTCTCCGCCAGACACTTTTCACTGCAGTTCACTAACGAAAGAGTGCAGCCTTCAGAAAGGTCATTAAAGAGAACAGCAATAAATTTACTACATCAGGGTTTCCTGGCAATCCTCTGAGCAAGAAACCGCTATTTATGACTGACAAACAGCCACGATCGATCGGTTTATCTCATTAACAAAACATACACTCAGTGACAAAACCCTTTATATGGAACGCCAGAGTGTTCCAGCTTGATATGATGCCAAACTCATAACAATAAAACGCAATTCAATTTCACAAAGGCTGGTTTTCATATACAAAGCTAAATCCCTAGTGTCGAACACAGGACTCTCCAGAATCATCTGCACTTTCATGTGTTTTTCTCTTTGAATAATTTAACTTGATAAGAGGCTTCATTTATATTACATTATCACTGTAAGATCAAGATAAGAAACATTTTACAGCATTTCTTGCTCATTTATACCAAAATGTGCTATTAATTATGCAGGACTGTGTTTATATAGTACCTCACCAAAGCTGCTAATATAATTCTTTCTTTGTATATATGGATCATTCATAACTGATCTCGGACTTTAGACTAAAACCCCTTTGCTCTGAGTGACTCTAAACCTTAATTATGATTATTTTATTAAAACTAAAGATTGAACATTCAATTTTGTCTCTACCAAAACAGTCATAACTCTACCAAACTGTACCAAATGTTTCAGTTGTGACTGCTGTGGTGACAATTTCAGCTCATTTTGAGCTCAAAAACAAACACAGCTCTGAACAGCTGTTCACACAGAAAATCATCATATTTTTCATTAAAACACTAAAAGTGCTGAACTGCAGAAAATATGGCGATTCTTAATGTTCCACACTGATTTTCAGACTTTGGGACTCATTTACTTCAAAACAATGGGATCTAACTGCTCACTGTGTGGCCATGAGGGACAGGGATGCAGCCTCACTTCCTGCTTTAAAATGCAGGGGCGTGGTTAAAATAAGGCTCCGCCTACAGACTAAAACTGAATTTCGGTAGTAACATGAAAACGTGGAACAGCAAGTTTTTAAAAAAAAATTAAACTGATGTGAAATCGAGATATTCCAACTTATTATTGTATTATTCTATATAATTCTTTACATATTATTGTATTATTTTCTAAGAATTATATTTATATCTAAATTTAGGGGTTAGGGGGTTTGGGCAGGCTCCTTCCAACAGAAAGTATCCTTTTACTGTCTCTTTTAATGTCTTGGATTTAAATAGATCAGAACCTATTTTTTGTAAAACTCTCTCTCTCTCTCTCTTTATATATATATATATATATATATATATATATATATATATATATATATGTGTGTGTGTGTGTGTGTGTGTGTGTGTGTGTGTGTTTGTGTGTAGTACAGTACACCACCTTCAGTCACTCTCAGCGCTCTGGGGCATTACGCCAAAAGACAGAGCAGAAAAAGTGGATGTGTCTGAACGACAGCCAGGCTTTTATCTCCGGCTGTCAGAGCGCAGATGCCCATTTATGCTGTTTATTGTACTTTTTATAGTCCTATTGATTATCGGTTGGTTTTCAAGGGGCTGATTAGTGAAATACGGCTCAGAACGTGGAGCCCGGCAAGAAAATCCAATTAAATCATCCTGAGCTTAATCTGCACTGTACATCATATAAAACTGCCTCATATAATTAACACTGGAATAACACACAGAGCTTTGACTGTTTCACTTCTGAGAGACAGAAGGCAGAACGGATGAACGAATGAAGGAGAGAGTGTGTTCAGTAAAGTTCTGCACATCAGCAAAATCGCTGACTAACCGTTTGAGAAAAGTGGAATAAATTTGTGTTTTTAATGCTAAACTCTAACAGAACACGTCATGTATTGACAGGCCCTGGTTGTTAAGCATCTTTTGACCTCGCTGCACTGCAAATGATAGGCGTTAAAGCGATCTGGTGGAGAACCAGATTTACCCAGGTACGGTTCCACTGTGCCCAAGATGACGAGAGTTTGGAGAAAGTGCCAATTTAACCAGCAAGCTGATTGGCTCTTTTTCTTGAAGGGCGGGACTTTCTCCATAAACAGATATACTACATACTATAGTAAACACCTAGCAATCACCACCAAAGCAACCCCAAAGCAACACCCTAGCAACCACCTGGGTAAATACCATAGTATACCATAGTAATCACCTAGCAAAGACCTTGAATACTATAGCATTACAAGGCAACACCATATACACCACTTGTTTAAATACTAAAGTATACAATGATAAACATCTAGCAATCACCTCTAATACAATAGCAACCACAAAGCAACATCCTAGCAACCACCTGGGTAAATACCATAATACACTATAGCAAACACCTAGCAATCACCTTTAATACCATAGCAACCACAGAGCAACATCCTCACACCCA